TGAGGTGACTCAAGCTGTGCTGTAAGGATGCTGTGGATGTGGAAGGGGAGAGTGAAGGGTAGCCTCTCTGAAAAGCTTAAGGGTGAGGACAAGCTGTACTCTCAAACGGAAAGGCCAGCTACATCTTTCTCCTCCATTTCCAGGTCTCAGAAATGGAAATCTTCTGAGCAGCAGAAATGAACCCTGGATTCTTACATTAGAAAACTATTATACCCACGGTCCTGGCAATTCTAGCTCCTGCAAGAAACAGTAAAGAAATCCCTGTGGCAATGCAGTTGAACTGCTGGAGCATCATGGTGCACCATGATGTGACAAGAGCCCCTTTGTGAAACAGGCTGGARTATCAAAGCCCTGGGGAGAGAGAAGCACATCAGATCTTGATTTAGGAAAACCCAATAATCCCCAAATCCCTAGTCCCTAGAGAGAACCCATTGTCACCCCTGAAATCCCATTCCTCCAACCTGTCTCAAAAAGGTTTTGTTGTTGTTGGGTACTAAGGATCCAACCCAGGGCCTTATGCATGCTAAGCATGCACTGTATCACTGAGTTACAACTCTAGCCCTACTAAAAAGGTATTTGTACACCATGTTTATGCCAGCATTATTCTCAATAGCCAAGAGGTGAGAACAATCCAAGTGCCTCTTGACTGAAGAACTGAAAAGCAAATTATGGTATATACATATGATGGGATATTATTTAGCCTTAAAATACGGCTAAATGCCAGGTGTGGTAGCACAGATMTATAACCCCAGCAACCTGGGAGACTGAGGCAGGAGAATCATAAATTGAAGGCCAGCCTCAGAAACTCAGCAAGACTCTGTCTCAAAATAAAAAATAAAAAGGGCTGGGGATGTAGCTCAGTAGTAAAGCACCCCTTTATTCAATCCCCAATACAAAATATTAAAAAAGAAGAAGGAAATTATGACATGCTATAATGGCAATAAACCTTGAAGACATTATGTAAGCCAGTCACAAAAAGACAAATGTTATATGATTCTGCTTACTATTAGGTACTTAGAGCAATCAAATTCATAGAGACAGAAAATAGAATGATGGTTGCCACTGGCTGGGGGGAGGGGAAAGTGAGGAGTTGCCATTGACGGGTACAGAATTTCAGTTTTACAAGATGAAAAGGTTTTGAAAATTGGTGGTACAACACTGTGAATATACTTAACCATACTAAATACATTAAAAAATAGGACGATAAATTTATATTATGTGTGTTTAACACAATTTTTAAAACATTTGTTTATATTAGCAAAAAAGCAAAACAAAAATACAAGTATAGAACTAAAATAGTCTTCCTCTCTTCTAAGAACATCAGGGATTCATAATCCTTTCTTTTACCATAAGAATGTTTCTGAAAAGCTTGAAAGTCAATGTGGTCACTCTCTTCTCTGCCAAACTCACTTTTCCTTTTTCATGATTTGAAGCCAAAACTCAAAGTCATCCTTGATTCCTTGTTTTTCCTCCTCCCTCCCAAGTGCAGTCATTACAACCTTCTTCTGTTTCACCAACTAAATTGCTCAGGCCCCTTCCACACCTACCATCACTAACCCAGTGCTCACCACCCACAACTTCTCCCTAGGCTCCTTACTCAGTCTCTTTTGCTTCCATTCTTCCAAAAAGTTCCATCTTCTGCCTCCAGAAGGAACTTAAAACACACAACAATCCCCACACAGTGCAAATCCATTCATGTTAATCTTTTCCTTAATTTAAACTTCCTCATGTTTTTCAAATAAGATGGTCTATAAGTTCCTGTAGAGTGTGACTCCTAAAAGAAGGACATCAACCTCAGCTTTTGTCTTGCCTGTTGCCTGTAGCACTCCAATCCCATTGGCTTTTTAGGTCACTGGGAGTGTTTCAGACCTTCCTACCTCAGGACCTTTGTATATGCTCTTCTTTAACCCTCCCCCTGCACTTAAGTCTACTTATCTCTTGGATGGGACATTATTCTTTCTTTTAAAAAAGTCTTCTTGGGGGCTGGGGTTGTGGTTCAAGTGGTAGAGTGCTCGCCCAGCACATGTGAGGCACTGGGTTCAATCATCAGCACCACATAAAAATAAAATAAAGATATTGTATCCACCTAAAACTAAAAAAGAAATATTTTTTTTGAAAAGTCTTCTTTATCTTCCCCCACTCCCAATCTGTTATGTGTGCGCAATCACTCTCTACATCTCTCTCATTTTTTATATTGGAATTAAATCCAGGGACACATACCACTGAGCTATGTTCCCAGACCTTTTTATTTTTGAGACATGTCTCACTAAGTTACTGAGACTTGCCTCAAACTTGCAATCCTCCTGATTCAGCCTCCCGAGTATTTGGGATTACAGATGTGTGCTACCATACCCAGTTTATATGCTCTCTTAAGGTATGTGCTCCTACACCTCAGTGATTATCCTTCATAGGGACTAAGACCAAACAAATACCTAATGGTTATTAATGGCCTTGCCCTATGACTGTTAGCCCTATGAGAGTAGGAAGAGTACATGTCTGTTGTATTGGTCAATACAAGTTCAAACTAGCAAAGGCTGGGCCAAATTTAATAATGGCAATAGCTCAAGTTGTATTTTTAGGATAAAAATGGCTAGACTTCTGCCAGGCATAGTGGTGCATGCCTGTAATCTCAGCAACTCAGGAGGCTGAGGCAGGAGGATTGCAACTTCAAAGACAGCTTCAGTAATCTAGTAAGGCCCTAAGCAACTTAGTGAGACTCTGTCTCAAAATAAAACATTAAAAAAAAGACTGGGGATATGGCTCAGTGCCTCCTGAATTCAATTCCCAGAACTAAAAAAGTCTAGATTTAGAGTCCCATAAGACCTGGTCACCATTTTCTCTCTTTGCCTTCCCCAATTTCAGAATTTCCAGAATACTATCTCTAGTGCAGAAGAATCCTGTCCTGCCAGTAGGACTCAAAATGCAATGACTCCCACCTGCTTATCATTCAATTCACTTACTAGAATACAAATATGTCCTAAGATTGTATAAATATGAAGAAAATAAAGAACCTGCACTTAAAGCATTTTCACTACTGAAACTAGAACATGTTCTTATATTTTCCTGTTTAAAAAAACAATTCTTATGCTTTAGCGCAGAGTCTAGAACTAGACCATTTGGGTCTAAATCCTGTTTCTACCACTTACTAGCTACATAACCTGGTCTACTGTAACCTGGCCTCTGTGACCCTCAGCTTCTTCATCAATAGGATGGGGCTAATCATGATGCCTACATTATGAAGTTGTTAAGGTTAAGCAAATCAACACACAAGTACTCAGGATAGTGTCTAGTAGATAAGAAAGTTTAAATATAAGTTAGCAACTTAGAACATGTTCTCCACAGCAAGATTAAGATCCTTAATCCTTTCTGACAGTACAGAACAGGTAAGGGTAGATTGGCCAACCAGCTCCATATCAATGGTATGCACTYAAGACTTAGAATTTTTTAAAAAAACTTTAGTGGTCTAAACAGGAGCTCAGTGGTAATGAGGACATTGTCTTTTGTCTTTGATTCAACAGACCTGGGCAGGCAATAAGTATTTTCAAGAGTAATAGAAATTAATATTTTAAAAAGTGAATGCTGTGTTAACTAGGTGGTGAGTGAACACTAAATAATATGCTAACTTTGTCAGCTGGTATCTCTTCCCTACTGAAACACATAAAATCATTAGTATTTCCTACTGATTTTAAGTAAACTTTTGCAATTTTTTCATATTGTATAGGCATATTTCATGATAATTCATGAGAATTATCATGAATAAATGCAACAGATCTCTAAAAATTGTTACAAGGCATTTAACTAGGAAGTGTATCATGTTGCAAATCAAAAATTACATTTAAAAGTTTGAATACACGAGTAAGAATAGTAGTTTCATAAGCAGAAATTAATATCTTCTATTGAAAAAAAATATATCATGATGCAATGTCTTTGCGATCTTTAATTGTAATTCATATGATATCTCCCCACCCCAAGTGCTGGGGTTCAAATCCAGGGTCTCCCTAAAGGCAAGGGCTCTTCCACTGATTTATATTCCCAACTCTAAAATTATTCTTTAAAAATTTAATTGGAAAATTGTTATACAGAAGACACTTCTAAACATGCACTGGAGATAAAGAAATGCAAGAAACATGATATCAGCCCTCAAAGGGCTTGGTTTAGTAAAAGAAACTCACACAAATATTGCCCTACTGTATCACACATAACAGATCTTAGCACCAGGCCCGGTGAAGCCAAAGGATTTCAATCGGGAGAGGGCGAAGGAAGGTTCTAGGAAGAACTCTTGAACTAAGTCCTGAAAGATGAGCAAGAATTCTTCAGTGAGTTAAAGAGGGAAATGGCAATGCCCAAGAAAGAACTGTAGGCTGATAGAAACATAGAAAGCCATAAAATATCACTGTGTGTTGAGGCCCTGAAATTCTGTGCAGCTGGAACACAAGCTTTGGATAAGAGAGCAACAGATGAGGTTGAAGACACAAACAGGGGCCGACATACACATAGACTGTATTTTAGTTTACAAAGGGAAGTTGTTGAAAAATCCTGATCAGGCTAACGATGTAACAGGTTTGCAAGTTAATGAAAATCCCTGGTTTAGGACTCCTGCGGGAAGGCTACCCCGGACCAGGGGGTCCTCACTTGCGCTGTTCCAGGATTCACTGACAACTCGCCCCCTTCTCCCAGCCTTGGTCAGCACAGACACCCCGCCCGCCGTGCGATCCCGCCCCCCTCCGAGCGCCCCTGTGGTCTGACTTCAGCAGCACTTTCCGGCAGGAGACCGGGTACTCGCTGTCACCGCAGGCGGCCTCCTTCAACGAGATCTGAGCATCCTTCCGGAGGCTGACAGACCTAAACTTGGGAGTGGCAACCGCTCATCTCGGTCGTTTCTCTGAAGCAGGCCCGGCTCCCTGCCCAGAGGCAGTTGTGCATTAAGTCCCTGACTGACAGTCAGGGAGAGCCGGCGTGGGGCGGACCCCAGCGCCCATAGTGACAGGGGCGAACGCTGCCGGCTCTACCCGGAGACCCGAGCCGGCGGGCGGGCGAGCGAGGTAAGCCGGGCTGTAGGCGGGAGGGCGGGGCGGCTCACCGGTAAAAGGCAGAGTCCCCGAGCGGGTTCCAGTTCGCCGTGTAGCAGTCCATGACTGGTGCAGACAGCGGCTGGGCAATGTTAGGACAGCCACCTAGCGCGGGCTCCAGGCCGGCACTTCCGCTTCCGCCCGTCCGCGTCACGTGACGAGGCCGCCTCTGCGGCCATCACCACTGTGGGCAGCTGCTGTCGGCCGTCGCCGTGCCCCCCGCCCGCASCGGGCTTCCCGCCCGCCCGGGTGGGTCTGACCCTGGCTCCTGGGCCCCTTAGCAGCTGACCCTGCCGCTTTTCTATYCTCTCGGGCATTGAGGGTGCGCAGGGGTGACATGGGTGACCGGAAGTGGGAGCTGTGAGCGACGCCGCCTGGGGCGCCGAAGCCCGAGGCGCCGTCGGGGCCACCGCGACGCACGCATGGAGAGCGCTGGGCGTCGGGCTGCGCACCGACAGCTAACCAGGGCGCAAGGGCTCTGCAGGGCGGGGGCTTTGCAGAACCGACTGGCCTCCCGGGGCGCGGGAACATGAGGCTAGACCTGGAGCCCGCTGCGGGCCAGGCGCGCAGTGCGCGGTCTCGCACTACTCTCCGGTGAACTGCGCGGAGCCCCGGGATTCGGTAATTGGCGCGAGCGGGCGCGCGCGCATGCGCGGGGCAGCGGGCACGTGGCGGGGCGCAGGGCGGCGCCGCCGCGCGGGAAGCGCCACWGTGCCCTGGAGGCCTGCAGGCCCGGCGACCGCCGCCTCCCGCACGGAGTTTAACCAAGGCCGGCGCTGCCATGGGCTCCCCTCTGCCGCCGCAGCCGCCTCTCTGTAGCTCCGAGCAGCCTGGGAGGGGCTGGCGCAGGCCTCGTTTATCCCAGGGCGGGCCYTGGGGCCGACCTGCTCCATGTCCCCGCCCTCGAGCAGCTTAGTGGCCTCTCTCTGCAGCCCGTCGTTGTCGGTGGCGGCATGGTCTTCTGTCTGGAAAACGAGGTGCCGCACCGCCCGCTGCGAAGCGCCATGGTCCACTTCCAGGCCTCAGAAGTCCAGCAGCTGCTACACAACAAGTTCGTGGTCATCTTGGGGGACTCCAGTGAGTGCCCCCTCTAAAATGACGCGTCCCAAACCTGCATCTGCAACCTGTTTCTATGTTTGCACCTTTTGCCTCCATCTCAGGTCTCTCTGCCCCCTAGTCTGTTCTAGTTAAATAGATGCCCCCTCTTTTTAATTCCCTACACATCTTCCACAGGTGTCTTGACATGTAACTTGTGCACTTTTTGCCCATCCTTGCTTAGCATTTTTCTCTCCCTCACAGTCTCCCATAATCTCCCCAAAAGGAGTTATGGGCTGTATCATGTGTCTCCTGGGGGACTTGACCAATTTGACTTTGCCAGGTGATCTAGGGTCAAATATTCTCCTTTGACAGAGAGGGGCACAAATAGAAAGAACAGGCAGTGCCAGGGCTTTTAAATCTTCCCTTTTTTTCCTGCACTTAAGTGAATATTCCATGGAGCTGGTGTTGAGCAGCCCAGCCCTGGGAAGATGGGAGGCTTAGACTTGGGAAGAGCTGGGATGGGGCAAGGTCTGCCTCAGCCTTGGGAATCACTGTCTCCCTGCAGTCCAGAGAGCTGTGTATAAGGACCTGGTGCTTCTGCTCCAGAAAGACTCACTGCTCACAGCTGCCCAGTTGAAAGCCAAGGTGAGGGAGGCTTTGCAGCTATGCCAGTGGTGGGTGGGTGCAGACCCTGGCCTGGCAGGGCACCTCCCTGGCATGGGTCTGACCAGCAGGGTTGGGGGGTGGGCAGGGGGAGCTGAGCTTTGAACAGGACCAGCTGGTGGCTGGGGGCCAGCTGGGTGAGCTGCACAACGGGACACAGTATCGCGAGGTCCGCCAGTTCTGCTCGGGTTCTGGCCACCACCTTGTACGCTTCTACTTCCTCACCCGCGTTTACTCTGAGTACCTTGAGGACGTCCTGGAGGAGCTGACATATGGGCCTGCCCCCGACTTGGTGATCATCAACTCCTGCCTCTGGGATCTCTCCAGGTTGGGGCAGGGGAGAGGTAAATACAGGTTGGAGGTGGAGGTATGGCTCTTCCCCTGTGCTCCTTGCCCACCCTATGTGTTATGTAATAGGTATGGCCGTTGCTCGATGGAAAGCTACCGAGAGAACCTGGAACGAGTGTTTGTGCGCATGGACCAAGTGTTGCCAGACTCCTGTTTGCTGGTGTGGAACATGGCAATGCCCCTAGGCAAACGCATCACTGGGGGTTTTCTTTTGCCAGAGGCAAGTAACTGGGGCCTTTCTGGACAGGGGATGAAAAACTAGCTGATAGATAGGGGACCCTCATAGAGGCTGCACTTTCTCCCTCAGCTTCAGCCACTGGCGGGCACTCTACGACGGGATGTAGTTGAGGGCAACTTCTACAGCGCTACACTGGCCGGGGACCATTGCTTTGATGTCCTGGACCTCCACTTTCATTTCCGGCATGCAGTACGGCACCGCCATCGAGACGGTGTCCATTGGGACCAGCATGCACACCGCCACCTCTCACATCTGCTTCTGACCCATGTGGCTGATGCCTGGGGTGTGGAACTGCCCAAGCGTGACCGCCCCCCTGGTGAGCCCTACCACAGAGGGGCTGGGTAGTGATGCAGGTAGGGCTGTCAGAACATAGGACTCAAGAAAGGAATGGAACAGAGGTAGAGAGTTGGGGTCTCTAAAGGACTGTCATGGCTCCTGAGTGTGCCTTCATCATCCTCTGGGGAGGGTTAGCTCATAGGAACAACATTTTAGTCTGAGTCCAGTTCTTTACAGACATTCAGTGGAAGAATTGATTTGAGGTGGAAGGATGAGTTGATGAGTTTGATTAGGGCAGATCTGTCTGAGGTACTATGGAAATACAGGGGATTTGTATTTAGATACCAGGCAAGAAGTAGAGGGCATGAGTATGAACCATGAAGAATAAAGCAGAACAGTACTCACACTTCAGATTGGCAGGAAAGAGGGACTGATGGCAGAAACAAGGAGGTGAAGATAGAGAGGCACTTTCAAGGAAGACAGAGGCTGTTGATGACATGTGATCATTGGTTAAATATGTCCATAAGTGGTTGCCTTTAGTAGGAAATGAATGCATTGAAGGCATGGAGTAGGGTCCAAAGAGATGGTGAGCAATTGATGAGGGCATGGAAATGGGACAAAATGTTCCTTGTAGAACTTTGGAAGGAAAGGGGGGCTAGTGGGAGAAGGGAGAACAGGATCTTTATATTTGGCTTATTTATTGGTCTGTGGGAAGGAGTTGGGGAGAGGAAAAAGCTAAAGATTCAGGAATTGAGCAAGCACAGGAAATAGGTGTGGGAGGGAAGGATGAAGTCAGAAGACTGGGAAATGTGAAGCAAGAAAAAAGGAGCATATCTTGAGCTTGGCCTAAAATGTGAGGGAATGAGGAAAACTAGGTGGAAGGTACATGGTACTCCAGCCTGGTAGCCCTGTTCTCTGGGAGAATAGAGAAGAACTCTGGAAGTGTGGCTAACCAGAGTTCAGGGCAGCCTGGCTTCTCAGGCCTTTCTAAAACAATCATCCCATTCCTAGACCCGTGGATTGAGGACTGGCCAGAGATGGATCATCCATTCCAGGGAAGCCATAGGCAGTCCCCAGACTTCGGGGAGCAACTGGCCTTGCCTCCACCCCCACCCTCTCCTTTACCCCCTCCCATGTCTTTTCCTTATCCTCTTCCTCAGCCCTCACCACCTCCCTTGTTCCCACCCCTGCCCCAGGATGCCCCTTTTTTCCCAGGCCAGCCCTTTCCACCCCATGAATTCTTCAATTACAATCCAATGGAGGACTTCTCGATGCCACCCAACCTAGGTAGGTGCCTCTGTGACCCCCCTTAACACCTCTCCCAGTCTCCCCTTGTACCTCCCCCAGCCCAGCCTGCTGTACCGAGGTAAGCCGAGAGGAGTTGGGTACTCCTTTTGCCCCCAGGATTGAGTTTGGTGACAGTAGTCCCTCAGTTTGGAACAGTAGCTACAGACTCATTAATTAGTTCATTGATTATCGTAATTTACCCATTGGAAGTAGGAGAAGTGGTATCCCCGTTTTGCAAATGAGGAAACCAAAGCCAAGAGAAATCACCCTAGCAGACCAGAGCTGCCTGAAGGCAGAGCTTTGCTCACCCTGGTCAGAAGCCCACTCTGACAGCTGGTTCTTTTGTAGGATGTGGCCCTGGAGTGAACTTTGTGCCTGGCCCCCTGCCACCTCCAGTCCCTGGCCCTGTCTCCCATGGTCAGCACCGAGGTCCAGTGGTCCACCGGGGAATGCCACGTTGTGTTCCCAACAGCCCCTACCATGTGCCAAGGATGGTGGGACCCTGTAGGCAACGGCTCAGGCACTCAGACAGACTGATCCACACATACAAACTGGACAGACGGGGACATGCCCATTCGGGAACATGGCCTGGGTAGATTGGATGTTGGGCTGGGGGCTGGATGTGCCAGTAGCCCTGCAGGGCCTGCTTGGCACCCCAGGTGTTGGGCCTGACATTGTTCTTGTCCATTGCTGTCACCAATAAAGGCGTGGAAGGACAGAGTGACATATTCTGTATAAAGGGAGTGGGCCTCCCAAACCACGGTCTTAAGAGTTGGTGAGGTTGCCTTTCACTTTCTCTGATATTGGAAATTTGGCCACACTATTTAGAAATCACTGAATATGCTCTTCTGCTGTCTAACACATTCATGTCTATCTTTACTAGAACACATAAATTTAGCAAAGATTTTGGAGAGGTCTCTTATTGTCAGCAGCTCTTTGGGCCTGAGAAAAACCAAGGGCTAAAATTTTGAATCTGGCTAATTCTTACCTAATCTCCCAGTTTCATGTAATCATGTATATATTCAATATTCATCTATTCCTGGAGGTAGATAACTTTATCTGGCATAATTCTTAGCCCATGGTGGCACTCGTGTTTAGAACTAACCAGAACCTCCCAAATCCAAGTGGGAGACCAGTTAGAAACTCACTGTTTACTTGATGTATTGTGCAGTGGGAACAAATTAAATGAAGACCAACTTTTGGTTGTGGGAATCGAAAGAAGAAATCCAACATGGTTGCGGGACCAGAGTACTAGTGTAGAGGGTAGTAGCAAACCACGTGGAAGTTAAGGAAAGCAGAGAGAGGTACAAGAGCTCAGCTTTGACAAGTGATCCTGACCCTTGGATTCTGATCCTACAAAGAGCATTAGCAGTGGAATGTTGGGCTGAAGTGGCAGGAGGCGTCCAGGATGGAACATGGCAGTGGGCTAATGAGTGATGTAGTGGCAGAAAAAAATGAAGATCCCTTAAATAAGTAGAATGGAGGGAGGGCATGGCACATGATTCTTGCACTTCCCATTCTTATTAATGAATCCTTTGAAAAGGACGTTAATGTCTAACACAAAAGGAGATAAATAGTAGATCATAAAATTGTTGATTCTGGCTAGCAATCTACTAGACTAAATGGAAGCAAAAGGAAGTGATTAACACATTGGTGCTGAGGAACAGGTACAGGCAACCCAAGTTGATAAAACCCTTTAGAAGAGCAGTCTTGGTACCAACCCAGTGCCTGAAACAAATACTTTTGAATTTCATTGGCACAAACAAACAAAGGGCATGTAACAAAAATGAATTTTTAAAGCGATATGAATAGATAATTTTCTTTGCAGAAAAAGAAGTTTTTTTCCTTAGCAAAACCCATCTTGGAGTAGCCCTTCAACTGCATCTACTTTTCCCAGTCCCTTGCCACTGCTTTATGCCTTTCTTTCTCAAAACCCTTTCTTGTGTCCAGACACTTTTGCACCTTTAATTCTGGATGTTCTGACTGTTGCTAGAGAGTAGTGTGTACCTGGATTGATTTGCAGGATAAAAACAATGTGAGGTGTCCAGGCTTGCTGGGCCTTCTCTGTTGCTTGTCATGTTGTTCTCCAGGAATTCCCTGTCACCTCTCCTATTCAGTCATTCCAGGGTTTTTCCACTTGCTTCTGGAACTCCATCCTGACTCTGGAATTCTCACTCTGTAAGCAATCTTGAGACTCTTCCATGTGCTCAACCTCCCCTGCATTCTACCTCTTTCACTTCTACCCCATTTTGCAATGTGAATTACTTTATATCTATGTCCTGACCCTTTTTAGCCTTAATTTTTTCACTTTTAAAATTAAAATGTGTTGAAATATCCTATTCTCTTTAAATTTGAATTTTATCAAAATAGAATAAAGACATTATTTTCAATTTGTTGTTATATAAGCATGTAGTATAAAGCACCTGTAAAAATTTGGCTCCTCTATTACAGATTTTATTCAATCATGACTGGGTAACAAGAAACTTAAAAATAGATTTATACACGCCGTCATTTGCATTTAAATTATTTCCTGGCTTTTATTTTGAGATGCAAAAATAATGGAAATCTTATGTTGCCCCAGTATGTAGGCCCTTTATTGGCTCTGAACAGAATTCAAACTGTGTTGTCTCAGAAACCATGATGATTGACCATTAACAAGTCATTCAGTAAGACAGTCTTGCATTGTCTCCTCATGGAATCTTGTTTTGTTTTTTGAATCTTGGTTTTCAAAGAATTAGATCCATTCCTTTGCCATACCAAGATATTCTAAAAGAAGCAAAAAATGTATGAGCACTTTACTCTGATATCAACCTTTACTTTCCAGAGGGGAAATATTTTTATTTAAGAAAAGTTAAAACTAGTACAATTGCTTTTTTCAAAACATTTGATCTAAAATGGAAGTTTTCCAACAAAAGTAGATAACTTGCCTTCTGTTACATTATTCAGTTTGTGGCATAAGTTTTGTGTTCAGTTTGTGTTCAGTTCATATGTCAGATACATCTAAGACATGCTCTAGTGAAAGATAAACTCTGATTGCAAGTAAATGCACCTATTCTTTTTTTTTAAAAGTCAGCTTTATCAAAGTGTAATTTATATACAATAAACTGCACATATTTAAAGTGTACAGTTTGATAATATATACATCTGTAAAACTATCATCAAAATCAAGATAATCTTTCTCTCTCTTTTTTTTTTTTTTTTTTTATTATACTGGGGACTTTACCCTGAAGCTACAGCCCAGCTCTTTTTACGTTTTTATTTTGAGACAGAGTCTTGCTAAATTGTTTAGGGGCCTGCTAAGATGCTGAGGCTGGCCTCAAACTTTCAATCCTCCCCCAAGCTGCTGGGATTACAGGTGGGCACCACCACACCARCCTAAAATGATCAGATTTATCCTTCTACTTCTTTATAATATCTCCCTCTTACCCCTCCTACAATTTCCTTGCATTCTCTTGCTCTTGTCCCCAAGCAACCATTATACTGATCTGCTTTCTGTTATTGCAGACCAATTTCCATTTTATAGAATTTTTATAAGTGGAATCATTCAATAGGTACTCTCTTATAATCTGGCATCTTTCAGTCTAATGAAATGGGATTTAAAAATTGTTCAAGTTTTTAAAATTTTTATTGTGTACTTGTAAAATATTTGTAACACATGAAAGTTATGAAATTCTAAACTGAAGGAAACCATGTGAATCTGAAAGACAGATGTTATCAGAATGGGCTGTCTTCCTGTGTATTCCTCATCTTACTCTGCACTCAGATTCCCAAACAAAGGTATGTGGAATTGCTGTTCTTAACCATTTTCAACTGGATCCTGATTTAAAAGGAAWTGCTTCTAAATTTCCACTCTTAAAAATTATGATATTGTTATAGGTTTTTTTACAAGTAATCTTTATTCAGTTAAGAAAATCACTCTCCAGTAGCTGGGGATACACTCAGTGGTAGAGTTCTTGCTTAACATACATGAGGTCCTAGGTTTGATCCCCAGTACTAGAAAGAAAAAAAGTCCATTCTTAGTTTACTAACAGTTTTGATCATGAATGGATATCAGATGATAAAACTGCTTTTTATTATTATGAGGACTAATTGGTTATTCTGCTCTGTTCTGTTTATACAGTGAATTCTATTTTTGTTTCTTTTATTAAATCATTTTTATGTTTTCATATTAAACTACTCTTATTTTGTGGGGGGGGACCCTGATTCCTTGTTAATTGACATAATTCACATACAATATATTGTACAAATCTTTTTTTGTGGGGGGGTGCGGTTACTAAGGATTGAACTCAGGGGCACTCAACCACTCAGCCACATCCCCAGCCTTATTTTTTTTTTATTTTATTTAAAAAAATATATATATATATATGGTTGTAGATGGACACAATACCTTTATTTATTTTTTTTTTTTATGTGGTTCGGAGGACCAAACTCAGTGCCTCACACATGCTAGACAAGCACTTTACCTCTAAGCCACAACCCTAGCCCAGTTGCACAAATCTAGAGAGTATAACTCAATTTTTTACAAATGTGAGTCCATGTAACCACAACCCAGGTCAAGATGTAGAACTTTTCCACAATCCCGGAAATTTCCCACTGTGCCCCTTCTCATTAAATACCTCCCCCAAAAGGTGTGTGCACATGTATGTGTGATATGGGGGATCAAACCCTGCGCCTCACATATACTGGGAAGCACTCTACCACTGAGCTACATCCCCAGCCCTTTTCATACTTTATTTTGAGACAGGTCTCCCTAAATTGCCCATGCTGGCTTTGAACTTGAAATCTCCTGTCTTAGCCTCCTGAGTAGCTGGGATTACAGATGGGAGCTACCATACCTGCTTTATAAATTAGCCTGTTCTTGAAATTATAAGGAACAAAATCATATAAAGTGCACTCCTGTGTCTGGATTCTCCCCAATTTACATCTGTGAGATTTATCCAGGTTATCAGTAATCTATGACTTTTTATTAGTGTGTACTATCCTATCAGATAGACAACAATTTATCCGTGGATAGACACAATTTATTCTGTGGATAGACATTTGGATTCTTTTCAGGTTTGAGTTACCATGAATAAAGCATCTGTGAACACTTTTGTTTAAGGTTTTTGGTAGACAGATGTACTTGTTTCTTAGGTGGAACTGTTGGGTCAAAAAGTATGTATCTATTCAACTTTAGTAAATGCTCCCTGATAATCTCCAAAGTGGATATACCAATTTCTACTCCATGTACACTGTTTTTTTTTTTCACCCTGTCCACCTAATTTGTTTATAGTTTCTATTCTATCCTGATTTCATCAGACATAATATTTGCATTTTTTCTCATTTTCATCTTTACTTGGGTGATTTCCAAGATGGAAAACTATCATCATTACTCTACCACCTTCAAACTGTATAACTTCCTTTTTAAAACTAGGAATGCAAGTTTGGTTTAACATTTAAAAATGGCTAATGTAATTCACATCAAACTAAAAATTTTAAAACATGGTAATTTCAATAGATATATAAAAGACATTTTATAAAATTCAGTATCCATTCCTGATAAAAACTTTCAGCAAACTAAGAATAGAAGGAATTATTCTCACCTTGATAGAAGGCATCAATGCCACAAAAATCTTACAGCTAACATCATACCTAATGACAGAAAAAAAAAGGAATACTTTCCCCTAAGATCAGAAACAAGTCTGTCTACTTCTACCATTTCTATTCAATGTATACTGGGTGTCCCAGCTATTACAATAACACAAGAAATGAAAAGCACACAGACTAGGGAACACGAAGTAAAATTTATTAGCAGATAACAGGATTGTCTATATAGACCTTATATTCATGTATTCATGGTCATGGTTATGATACAGGGTCAGTATACAAAAATCAGTTGTATTTCTCTTTACTAGAAATGAGCAGGAACAGAATTTTTAAAAAATACCATTTACATGGGCCAAGGACTTGAACAGAAACTTCTCAGAAGAGGATATACAATCAATCAACAAATACATGAAAAAATGCTCACCATCTCTAGCAATCAGAGAAATGCAAATTAAAACTAAGATACCATCTCACTCCAATAAGAATGGCAGCCATTATGAAGTCAAACAACCAATAAGTGCTGGCGAGAATGTGGGGGGAAAAAGGTACACT